CTTCGCATTCGAGCTGCAAGACCATGCCTGCTGGGAGCGGAGTGGACGGCCCCACACTTGATGGATCTGGGGACTCCGCAAACGTATTTCGGACATGGAAGACAGTTCGAATCAAAGATCAAACATTAAGGATTGACGAGTTCTAACTTTTAACCCCTGTACTACCCGCATTCTTGCTGTAATGGTCAAAATTATGCTCTTTGCATTTGATCTGCAAGACCGAGCAGAGCGGACGGCGACGAAGCGAACAAAAGACGATCGGCGCGCGGTGGAGGGGGCAAGGAGAGAGACGACAGTAGTGCGCTCTCTCTCTGGCCTCGGTAGTAGGGTGCGGCACATCGTATTTCATCGTATTTTAGGGTTCTTTCGGGCCATCTAGTTGATTTATAATTGTATACCGTCCATCTTTGAACCTTAGAGCTTAGAAATGTGAAGACCGCAAGTTCCTAGGTGGAAAAACAAGCCTTCTGCGCCATCAAGAAGAGGCCCGTGTCACCCCAGCTACTTCTCCATTACACTTAGTCCTTCTCCATGAAACTTTGGTTGCCCCGCCCCGCCAGGCAGAGGGCCACCACTACCACCCCGGGGCGCAAGAGGCGAGACGAGCATCACTACAGGAGAAGCCAAAAGAGTCAACAGGTCCCATCATCGGATCCTCCTATCACAGATTCACATACTACGCGTTGCGCGTCCGCATGTGCGCGGGGGTCCCTGCCCTAATGGAGCTTTTGGCTCTATGAGTATCTACAGGCTCCTGCCATCCGGTCGCCTTAACTCTTCCCCTTCCTTTCGCTTGCCCCCTTTGTTCTCTTATCCCCTTTTGGAAAGTAACTATGCGGATACTCGCAAGTCATAGTGACGAGAGATCTCCTTACAACAATGCAGCTTCATTTGACCAATTTTCCGCTGGGGGTTCATTATTTGTGCCCCACGGAAAACAACGCTCCTCCCGCAAACAAAAAACTCCTTCGCGCCTGTGCCGCTGAGTCCTCCGGGGTGAACAACAACCAACGCCACGATTCGTTCAGGACGTGCACCTCAGCGTCGTCCTCCCGCTACAGGACATCATGTCCGGGCGATGGTGCGAGCCTGGGCAACCATCTGCGCAGCCTCTCGTCCTGCTGCTGCGCGACACCTGCGCCCCCGCGACACCAACCAACCCCTCCTCCACCTTCGTCCTCCTCCTCCTCTACTTCCGCGGCCTTTCATCATCCGGGCGAGAGACTTTGCCCGCCCTGCCCCTCCCTCGCCCGGCCCAGCCGCCGCCCGCGCCCCACCCCTGCCGCTTACCCTCGCGCCGCTCCCGCTCTTACCCCCCACCACCCGACCGGCTGACTGCAGCAATAAAGACGTGTCCCCACCGCGACGCGCCGCCGCGACGCTACGTGTGTCGCACAAAGCACTCTGCAAAACTGGGAGGCGTCTACGTCCCCACCCCCTCCCCTCTATTTCCTCGACCTTTCCCAGCAGCGTCGGCGGCGGCGGGAGAAGAGATGTCATGCAGAAATGGCCTCTTTTCAGCGTCTTCTCCACCATCCCCCCACCCCGCTTACCCAAACCGGTGTGGTGCAGTTTATATTGCTCACCGGTGCGTCGAAAGCGGCGTCGTGTTCCCTACGCCGTCGAATGTCACAAAACATATCTGACCGGTGCAATTCAGCGAATGACAATGATGACAAAAAGATTGAAAACGTTTCAAAACACGCCACAACCTCATGACAAGGAAAAAAAATCGCATTCTTTCAATTCTGAACAACACAGCAGAGCAATTATAACATGCTCTTAAAACTCTTAATTTCGCACCAGACTGATCATTTCTCAAAGTGGAGTGGACTATAGTCTTCGTGGTACTAACGGGCAGTTGTTCCGCACTCACTCACCTCGACTCGTGGGCGCGGGTGCTCGTCCGTGTTGGAGCGAGTTGAACTGCTGCTGCTCCAGCTGGTCGTCCGAGGCCGGCACCTTCCAGCAGTCCTGGCACAGCGTGACGACCTCCACGTCTCCGCCGCCGCGGCCGAGGCCGGGCCCGGGGCCGCCCACCAGGATATCGATCCCTGCAAACACAAGTTATACACGACTCGTCCTCATTCCATTCAGATATTGCAGCGGCGCGGCTCAAACGGCCGGCCGGGATTTGGAATAAGGAAGGAGAGAGGGTGGCAACGGCGGCGCCCCCTAATGTATGCATAAAAAATTCCATTACGTGCATGCCGGCACGCCACAAGGGGGCGGCGCCCTGGAGTCTGACTCCAGTGCGCCGCTGGTCTTCTTTTATTTCCAGCAGTTG